CCGCGCCTACAAGGATATCCCTTTGCCTGGGTCTACCGCTTTCTAATAATGCGGCTTGCAAATTGCCCCATCGCTAAATAACCGACGATCAAGGGAGCCTGCTCATTACTACTCGTAAGATTCCCGCGCGCAATTTGCATTAACTCCGCGAACGAGCCGCGACCTCGATGAAGGTCGACACTCCCTATCCTTAAGATTGATGCGGCCGATTACAGTAGCGACGAGAAGTCAGTCAACAGGGACCAGGGGGCCTTCTATTGTATGCGTGTCGAGGTTCCTGCTTACATACTGCCGTTTGATTTTCGAATGAGAAGTGTCCACCATGGTAATCGATGCTGAATCGGTCTTTCTCGAATCCTTATTGATGAGATAACAGAAGAAGAGAATCGCAGGTTTTGCGTTCACGAAAAGGGCACCTGCTGTCGTCGGCTGCCTTTGTCGGCGACCTCGAATACCCCGAGCTTTGATCTTTCGTCGACGACGTTCGGGACAAACAACACCGGCGATGACAGTGTTACGGTGCACCATGACTATTTGCGGCGGCCGTCTATAGCACTCGCTGGAAAACCGACCGCGTTGCAGCGCAGCGAATTGCACGAATTAGACTGTTAATTGCCGAGACGCGTCGGAAATTAATTGTGGCGAAATAGGAATGTAATTGAAGATCTCTGGATGCGAGCATTGCGGGCAAATTGGAAAATCATGGCGATAAACTTGAAATAAAATATCTGTAGACAAGATGTTATTTGTTGCAATCATTTTTTTAATCTCGGGAAAAAAATAAGTACTTTTAATTGAATATTAATAAAAAAAATTAATAAAATAAATAATAAAAATATTAATTGTAAAAAGACTATAAGAACTCGTTAGTTTCAGTCGGCAAGTTCACATTATCTGATGCTTAGTAAATGATTTTCGATACAAGAATTAGACATTATACTGTGCAATATAAATAATTTTTTTTCACACATAGTAAACTCAAGTTACTTTCAAAAATAGAGACAAAATGTAGTACAAGCGTGTGTGTCGTTCTGCGATATCAAATCATTTGTGTTTTTTACACACATTTGAACAGGTTATTTCAGCCATGCTGAAATTTTACAATTGTCTGAAAATTATGTATTTTCATGCAAAATTAATCGCTAAATGAGAAAATGATAAAATTAAACCGGAAATAAAGGAAGATGTTGAAAATATGTATTTTTAATTAAAAATTATTAAAAATTTTCGACCTTTCGACAAAAATAAACATAACGCAAACTACGTATAACGCCGCGATCCGATTCAGACTTACAACGCTTACGAATCATTTGATCCTTGTTGTTTATCAAATATTATACAAACACTCACAAACGTTATGAGTTATAAGTGTTATAATATTTTCAGATCACTGCCTAAATGCGATTTTCGACTAAAAATATTTTTTTTTACTCATTTGCTCTACTTCAATCGCTTTAATTTGATTGTTTTCTTATTCAGCGATCAATTTTACATGAAAATACATAATTTTATGGAAATACGTACATAATGTTCAGACAAAATTTCATCTTGCGCCGCAAACTTCGAACGTGCACAAAAACCGCAAACGATTTGATATCGCCAAATTAAACGCACGCCGGTATTCTAGATTTCATCTCTACTTTCATAGAAAATTTGAGTTTTTCAGTGTGAAAAATGCTGTCGCACAGTGTTATATCTCTTTAATAAATTTTCAATTTATAAAAAAAATTAAAAAATATATATGCATATGAAAAGTAATGAAGTGTCGTTGATCTCTTATTTATTATAGTATAACAGTAATGTAGCATTATTAATCTCTTATTAATTATAATATATTTATGAAATGTCAGAAATCCTGTTTTATACTGAGACAATCAATATAGAAAATGAGTTTATTAAAAAAAATAAACAAATACTCGATAAAAGATAAACTCGATACTACAGATACTGTAGATAAAAAAAATCGACAAATACTCATGGATTATATGTTGAACAATCACCGTGCCATTTATCAATTGAATATCCATGTTCAATATGTGATAAAATAACCTATTAAAATATTTAAATCACAATTACACAAAAAATGTTTCTGACGGTTCATCACAGCGTAAATGTATAAGTAAATGAGTTGGAATAGTGTAGGTGATTTGTGGAACAGCATACATTCTTGTTAAATTTAATCATGGTATCCATCCATAAATCTTTGAAGAAAGTTTAAATTTTAAATTTTCGTTAGTGAATCATAGTATCATGGATGGATACCACGACTAAATTTAAAAGTACATGCTATCCCGAGTTAACTGCATTGTCCCAAGTCATCTACATTTGCGGTGACCATTTTCCATTGTCATATCAAATGCAAACATTATGCGATATTATTGTACGTAATATGATGTCAGTCACATACAATAACTTCTCAGTACCACAGTGCTACCTCAGCACGTAGGCCTCCCTCTCATGCATCCTGAGCGCACACTGATCGTACATGGTATATGAGGACCAACAGTTTAAATGCCGATTCCGAACGGCAATTTTTGAGAGGTTTCCTGGGCAAGTATACTACTTGATGGTTTGCCATTTGCCTTCTGAGAGGATTTATGAGTGTATTTTTCGGTTCTACCGGAGATCGAATTCGGGGATTAGATCAGTATACTGCCTAGTAGTGCTACCACGCTTACGTTCAATAATTTCTCTAGTAATGATGAATGAATCATTACAAATTAATTCAAAATTCAAATGAAATACAATAATATCATCGAGCTTATTATTGACCGCAATTATTTCGATCAAATCGAATATCATGTAAAAATCAAATATTAAAATTTAAAAAATTAATAAATAAAAACCTGCAATAAATCTTATAAAAACAGTTCAATCTTGACAGTCATGTAAGTTTCTTTTCTTTTACCATTTTTCGCGTATAATCTCATGTTAGCATTTTTTAAATTATTTTTAACCTCTTGTGTCGGTCGTTCTTAAAACAAAAAATATTTTTCTTTTTTGTTAACTTAGTAATTTAATGACCAAGATTAACTCAAACATCACTATCACGTTTTTTCTTGCTTTTTATGTTATTAGTTTATATTCGTATAAATGCGCTACCATTATGTAATTTTGTTAATATATCTTTTTGTACTGAAGAGGACCTTGACCGTAGGTCGAAACTTTTATTATTTACGAAACGTTTAATATTTACTTTGAATAAATGGTATTAAAATACACACTAATAACCAATGTCGGCTCAAATTGGTATTTTATTTATTATTTTTTAGAATTTTCTTTAGAGTCTATTGATTGAAATTTAATACATTCTATTAATAGGAATGCAGAAATCATAAATCGCATTAAATGAACAAATTTATAGAGCATTTATAGGTTTTCCTTATATGTAACGATGAAAGAGCTAATACTCGTATTACGCCATGCTTCATGCTGATATTCATTTTCATGGAATACATAAAACAATGTAGATAATTTTGCTAGTCGGATTATATAATTGACTTATTAATTACAAATATCCGGTATCATTTTAAATAATTTTATCATAGATATTAACTCTTTATAATTGAAACATATTTCATTATATTTTTTATTATACCGTTGTTATCTCTTCATGCTTTATGCTTTCATATTATAATTCAAAAATATGTATAATATAATCGAATAATTTTATTAATTAAAATTGTAATGTTGCATTGTATAATCAATTGATCGTATATTAATTATGAAGATTCAATGAATTCGAATGTTATTAAGTCAAATAATGAAGAATAAAATTATGCTGCCAGCATTAAGCGGCATGTTATCAAATTAATTAAAATTTTTACTTAATTAAAATACATCAATGGATTAAAAGTCTCAAAGAGACACATTGATTTATGTATCATTTTCCCATAAACCATATTATTTAAAAAATACATTATTTCATTTGTCAAGTAACAAAATCACAATCTAAAGAAGGTACCAGACCGAATCGATACTGGAGCATTCAAGATCTTCGCACGACCTCGTCGCAGTCAAAACAACACCCTACACGTGGTAGTGAGAACCATACTCCTCCACCACCCTCTAGACTCTAGACTTCAGTTCATCTCATTCTCTCTCTCTCTCTCTTTCTGGCTCTCCCTTCTTGCTCTTCCCTACCCTTCTCATCGGTGTGCTTACTGGTTACTTCGTACGGTTTGAGCTGGCTCGATTGTCAGTCGGTTCCCGACTCTGATGGTGCAAGGAACAAGGTATAGCTTTGCACGATCTTTCATATCATACGAAGGCGGAAGTACTCAATCACTTTATCATTAATTACTATTGAATCATTCTGATTACAATTCTGATCAAATTTTCCTAGCAAGCTAAAGGCTTTTTATTTAAGATAAAAAAAATTTCTAATATGATGAGCACTGTCTAAAATTCTTGATCATGAACTTACGTAAGAATCGCGAATTCGGAGAGGTGTATTGAAATGTATCATCGAAACGGGTGAAGGCCGGGGTAGAGGAAGAGGGGGAGAAAGAAAAATCAGGCGAGAAGAAAAGGAGGTGTCAGTCGCTGTTACTTCGTCGATCGTGCCCGGCACGTGCGCGTACTCGGCCCCTCGTGCCTTTGGCAGAAGAAGGGTGCATTGGCGGAAGGAGCGAGGAAGGAGAGAAGAAGAAAAGGAAGCGGTCGAAGCGAAAAGTGACGGCAGTGCGCTCCGGACCGTCAAGCGGTACGCCGAGGAAGAGAGTGAAATTGGTGCACGCGCAAATTCAAATGCGTGCTGGACCACGTGACTCTCTCACGGAGTACCTTCAACCCCTATTTAAATATTATCGGGTCATCATCAGATTATCATTGTGCGGCATTTAATGAAAGAAATATAGACCTCCGCGAATTTCATGTCGCATCAACCGCACGAATGGATCGACAGAAAAACATAGTGCTGTTGTGATTCTTCGACAAGACTAAGATGATCCGCGTAAGGATAGATTCGCGCTGTTGTATGCGCATGGATTGAAGGTGATTGATATATGAACTGCGATGATTACGTGTGAATAAAGATACGAAGATTTATCACGTGAACAGTACTTGTACTATTAACATACGAGGGTGTATCAAGATGAAGGCAGCGTTGCAGGTGAGTTTTTATTTTGCACGAGCATATCTTATAATTCTATGTTATAATTTCACTTGATTAATTTTAAATTAGGAGTATTATGAGCATATTCTTATGAAATAAAAATATGGAATTATGAATCACTTATAAATTTTCATAAAAATTTATACATATATCATAACTTATAAATTAACAATTTGCTATTATATAATTACATAAGATAACAATAAAATGTAATTATATAATTTATATATATATATGTATGTTTTATTTATATATGTAAGTATTTCAAAAATTATTTTTATTTCATAATTCTCACGTAATTGCCACATTTTATTGATTTTAAACTATATAACTCTATTAACAATAAGACTGTTTGACTGAGCAATTAAATATACTTAAATACAATACTAAGCAAATAAAATGATCGGAGCTACTCGGTACTTATTTGTGTAAAAACAATAAAGCTAAATATGAATAAAAACAATAAATAAAACTATATCGCTATAATATACGAGAAATAGGCAAAAAACAACGAATACTTAAAAAAAGTAGATCTAAATCTTATATCTGTGGTACAAATAAAGAGGAAAGGCTATCGCATGCGTTACATCAATAATAATAAGGGCGAATATCCTGTGTATTAATTTCTTCTTACCGTACCCACACACACCCACCCACCCACTCACCCACCCACCCACACACACACACACACACACACACACACACACACACACGTACGCGTACGCATATACACGGATGCGTCGTAAGACGAGTAGCGGCCGAGGCATCCCAATCTTCTTTTAACGCTCTTTGATCATCTGGAAGTTCTACTTTCACGGGTACCCGCCGCGCGTTTCTCACCCATAGCCTCTCTATACCGAAGGTTTCTGTCTCTCTTCTGCCTGACAACCATCGTATGCGACTAGGCATCTCGCATATACAGTGGCCTTTAACTTTTAAGTACGATTTAACGAAAGCCTTTGAACACCCGCCTGTCGCAAAACTCCGGTACCGGTTGCGAATTCTCTGGGGGTTATTTGACCTCCGCAGCCGCCGCCCTCGAAATCTTTCTTTACCACGATTTCGCAAGCTTTTGCTCTCTCACGCACGACGATTCTCTACCATAGCATTCGCTTTGATATTTTTAATGTTCTTTGCGCGTCAAAACATACGGCACCTCTTTTGTGCGTTGTGGAAATTCGAGAGAAATATTCAGATCCATAGTGACATTAATAACGCTTTTATAATGAATTATGTAGATTTATCATCAATTATGTTACAATACAAAAATGTCAAGTGAAATAATTAAAATGAAATCAAAAATCATTATTCATGCACAAAAAAAAAGATCGCGTAATGCGATCGTATAATTGTAATAAAATTGCGTTAAATCTTCGCATATTTATCTTCATTATAAGATCAGTAAAATTAAAAAAAATTAAAGGTAGCATGCAACGTTTAACTTTCGCGATCGACCGATCATTTTATACGAAAAATTACAAAAGGAAATATACAAAATATACATACATAATTAATTTAAAATAATTTAAATCAATTAATATAAATAATTAATAAATCATTTGAATTATATTAAATTAAAATTAATATTTAAAATATTGATTTTAATAAACAATTAAATTTGATTTAATCATAGTTACTACGTAATAATTATGGACTTGACGTAAATATCAGCACAAGCATCGTCGTTAATTACGATATCGATTGAATTTCATTAGGCTGTTTCGAGCGCGAGCTCTACGTCACCGGGCGACTTCCTGGACGGTCGACTGCGATGCGCTTGATCTGGCGCATAGAATTCGCGCGACGACGCACGTGATAAATCACTACGGCAGCTAACCGCGCACGCGATAAACCGCGAGCTCTCGCGAATCGCGTGCGATTCTCTGCCACAAATTTATCGCCGTCTGTTGCCGACAGCCGCGTGGCACACATTATAAGGGAATATGACAGTGGAAAATTAAAAAGTGAAATAAATTTATTCCCGCGCGATATTATCGTCTCCGATGTGTGTTTTAATAATTAAACGATGATAATTCCTAAAATTGCTGAAAAAAATTTCGCGAGAGATATGTCCACTCGATCTACCAGCTGCACCCTTGTGCACAAAATTTCAAAATTGAAAGCGGTTTAAACGAAGCTATATTTTTTCCAAAACGATTACAATGACCCAAAAGCAAGTCACATTTCAAAGAGAGAACGCAAAATATTTGTTCGCGTGGACTACAAATGTAATTGGCAAAAACATATAACAATCGTTATAGTAAATAAAATCTAGGTAATTTACTTTTTTCTCAATTTCTGCAGTTATAGCTTTTCGTGTATTTTCTCATTCAAGATTGTTCAACTAATTGTAGCAGAAATGATATTTCTACTTTTTGATTAAAAGAATCGACTAAATAACATATAATTTTTAACGTGCAATTTCTGTGATTCAAGTATTCAGGTATTCATCAATATCATACAATATTTTTTATCTTCTGAAATGTAGAGTATCTATAAAGGTTAATATAGTAACACAATGAAGTAATATATTTTCTTAATGTAAATTTTATCGAAAATAATATTTTAAGTGAAGTTTTCGAACTTCTAAAACTAAATATTTTCGGGGAACTTAATATTATTTTTAAGAATTACACACATATTAGGAAATTTTTAGCTTACATTTTTGTTATTTTAGTAACTTTAGTTAAGAAGATAATTAGAAGAATATATAGAATTACTCTTAAAACTTGATTTTTCAGTATTAAATAATTCAGTAAGTAGTTAAACAGACTTTGATTTTAAATTTAGTATACAAGGAAAATTATTGGAAATAAGTTTTCTCTTAGATCCCTATGTATGTATATAATTTTTCATTATGTGTCACGATACGATATAGTTGAATCATGTAATGAATGTGATGTGCGGCTTTAAATGCTTCAGTGATTTCAGTTAATAGCAATGCAAATAAGTATAAAATACTATAAAATAAAATTGTGCGACCGCGCGCGGAATATGGTTTTATGACAATGTTATTTAAATGTTAACACTAATCTATGTGTTAATTTAAATCCACAAAAATTCTAAATATCAGTTGACTTTTATCATTAACAGAATACGTGCTAAACGTTCATTTATTATTCAAAATGTTGTAGTAAAAGATAATACCGACTTTATCTCATTATAAGCAGTTTTATGTTTTTATATATATATATTTTTTTAATTGAAAAACTATTAGAGAGAGAGAGAGAGAGAGAGAGAGAGAGAGAGAAAATGTGTGTTTGTGTATATATATATGTGTTCTAATAGTAATATATTCGCGATTATCATAGGAAGAATTGACGCATAATATAATTATTTACTTAAGACAATAGATATTCGATAATGGATATGCTGCGATTCAATAAGGGATTCTAAACTGCGATGACGGGTCCCTTGTTGTTCTCGAGCAGTAGTAAGCAAATATGTCAGTCGTAAAAAGCAGGGTGGATAATTGCAGTGGTGATCATCTATGCTACCTGCTGTCAAGGTTAACGTTAGCATGATATTCGCATGCGTGTCCTTTTGGCACCGCGAACGGCCGCGCTCGTTAATGAGCGTATATTGATCTCTCGAGCGCCGCATGACCGGACATCAAAGAGTAGATGAGCAACAAGTATCCCGTCGGGAGAGAGAACCGAAAGCCCGAGATTACAATTTAAGCCTGTTTACGTCGGGATTCCGTCTCTGTGATCTCGCGCGCCACGCATAGTCCGCGTCGATTCGGAATCCCGTCTCCTCCGGCGTTTCTCCACCGCGCCTCTTCCCGTTTTAGCCCTTTGCTCTGCCCGAGCTGCCTTTGCGCGCCAGCAACTCGAGATTATTTTCCCAATGTACTCTCGCAGCTCGGTATTGCCTCCAAAATATAAACGTCCGTATATACGTACCGCTTCGCGAAAGCGCGCATTTTGGAAATAGATAAATAATAATAAAACATAAAAACGTATTTTTACTGTAAATCTTGCGTAATCTTCACTACGGAGTATTGTACCAGATAAAAATGTGAAGTTTTTAAAAACTCCGTCAAACACAAATATAAATTCATTTTGTCTATATAAAAATGAAAAAAATTAATACTTCTTTCAGTAGAAAAACATAGGTAATTAAAACTATCATTACAAATTAAACTTTTTGCGAAATTAAACTTTGAGGATACAAATGACTAATAAAACTTCTCTTTTTTATTTTTTAGTTAATTTTATAATAAAGTTTCGGTTTGGGTAATCCTATAATAAAAGTTTTATTTAAAACTTAAAAACATTAAATGCTTAACGTTATTAAAATTTCACGACAAAAATTATAAATATCTTGCATATTATGCATGTACCATTATGTTCGCTTAAGCGAGAAACTTAGCTTATGTAATTAAAATATAGTTCCTGGGTTAAGCCGTTGTACATATTTAAAGTATAACGCAAGCAAGAAAATATTCATAGGGCATATTCATGGTAATGCACATTTCACGGCATGAATACAAAGGTGGAGAAGACGATGAAAGGAAAAAGACGGCGATGAGGCTGATATCCTGCTTTTAAGTCCTTTCACAAACGAAGGAAGAAGTGGCCATTTCAGATTTCGTATAATGAGAGAAGTATTAATAATCATAATAATAAGCTATAGGATATAGGAAGAGACTATATACGTCGTTCTATCATCATTTACCTAAACGCTTTTCACGCGGAAAACGTGTCGACGATAAAATCTTATTGTCGAAGAAACGACGGAGCGGTGAAATTGCTGCGATTTACCGGGAAACTTTTACAACGTTTTCCGGTTTGCCGAGACTTTCGGGAGGAGAGTGATAGGGACAGGAGCGCATTTCTTAGAGACGAAAACGCTGGCGAGCTAGCACAAACAATGCCCCGTTAGAGAGTAATGTCAGTCCGGATTCGTTCTACTACGTGCCTTTCTGTACGGAAACGGCGGAGACCCGACTGGACGGGGGGATAGTGGAACATTGTGCCAGCAAGCAGCAATTA